CAAACCAAATCGTTGCATAACTGAGATGCATAATATGGGCAGTTAAGAGTCTGCACTGATCTACACTGGAGGTTTCGATTGCGTTGGACTTGCAAGGTACATTGGAAGTTTTGAGAATATCTCCGATTTCGCTTGCTATTCTTATCAATCAATTACTCTTGTGTTTGAGATTAGAATCGATGAACTGAGTTATGAACAAAGAAATAAACAACACACACAGAATTTATCCAGTTCGGGTGCAAAACCGCAACCCTACGTCTGGCCGAGACTTGCTCGGAATTCACTATATATCATCGCCGAGAGTTTATTGGGGTTGGTTTCCACCCGACTGAATTAACCATCTCAGAGTGACTAAGTACCAGAAGATATCTGCGAATCCGAACTCGGTAAATAAGCAAGCCAAGCCCATCTACGAAGCAGGATGGGCCGAGTCCTGAAATGGTATGGGCCGAGCCCTGGAGGCGGCACGGATCGAGCCGCGAAGTGATATGGATCGAGCTGCGCAGAAGAAAGAATGGGTCGAGCCGTGCAAGAAGGAGAACGGGCCGAACCAGTTCCTTCCTTGATTGGGCCGAGCTGGTTCTTGGGCCGAACCTAAATCATAAAGGACGTAAGCCCATAAAAACTCTAGGCGAAGTGCTATGACAGTGGCCGCGCGAGGCGATAAGGAAATATTCTGAAAATCTCTCCCGAGATTCTCGGCTAGGCGGTTTAGATAATTAATATAAATAGACGATGTATGCGATTCATTATGCAATTTTTCACAACTCGAGCGCAATAAGACTTAAACACTTTTACAGCAAAAAACCTTCTTTTGATCTTACTGTTCTTGCGATAAACCGTAGAGATTTCGGATCCCTTATGTTTTCCTTAACAAACTCTTGGTTGTGCGAGTTTTGGCTCACACAGAGTTCATCGGAAAACCTCCCTGAGATACAATTTCACTCACCGGAAAACTATCTCTCTGTTTTATCTCTCTCTCTCTCTCTCGATACAAAGAATATCTCCCCTCAGAAATTACAATGATCGCTTACACTCTCAGAGAAGAAGACTCACAGCTCAAGATGATAGACTTTATCCGTTGTAACAATCGTAAGAACTCCAGCGCGTAGAAGCGACGCTCTAACGGTCATTAAGCTCAGCTTCTTCATCTTCAAGTTCAGCTTCTACACGAAGCTTAAAACGACGACGTCCTTAGGAGTTTAATGAACCACTCCGGTTTAATCCCTGAAACCAAATGAATAGGCTCTAAACCTGGTCATTCCCCAATCAGCCTTTAACCGGTACCCGCTGACTGAAATGGATGGTTTGCACACCACAACACATCCGACAAACTCCACCTTGGTTGCAGAACCAGACAACCAAATCACATAGTGAACTCCATCCAGGATTTCTTCTGTCTCATTCTTCAGAGACTCCCAGTAAGCTCAACAATCCTTTGAACTTACTAACTTGTAGAACCTTCGTAAAGATGTCAGCAGGATTCTCATTCGTATGAATCTTAGACACTTTAACTTCATTCTCCTATACCCTTTCTCTAACGAAACTCAGCCTTACTGCCATATGCTTAGTGCTCTCATGGTTTATATTGTTTTTGGCCAATACCAGAGCACTTTGAGAGTTGCAGAATATCTCCACCTTCTCTTGAGGATACCCAAACTCAGCGCTTAAACCTCTCAACAAAACTGCCTCCTTAGCCGCTTCGGTCATAGCAACATATTCAGACTCTGTAGTGGATAAAGCTACCACTTTCTGCAGAGTTGACTTCCAGCTAATGACACAACCACCAGACACAAATGCATATCCCGAGATAGACCTTCTACGATCTAAGTCTACAGCATAATCAGAGTCGCAGAAACCACAGATTCTAAACTCGGAGCCCTTCATAAAGACCAGACTCATTCCTTTATAACCCTTCACATATCTCAGTACCCATTTAAGTGGATTCTAATGCATCTTAATCGGATTACTCATAAACCTACTAACCAATCCCACAGGATACGCCAAATCGGGCCTAGTTCCTATCATCCCGTATATTAAACTTCCAACAGCGTTACAGTAAGGAACTGACCTCATATATGCCTCTTCTAGCTTAAGCTCTTCCTCTGTGGCAGATAGTAGCTTGAAATGAGCTCCGATAGGCGTACTGACCCCTTTGGCTTTTTCCACATTGTAACACTTTAGGACTTTCTCCATGTAATTCCCAACTCTCTGTCTCGAATTATATCAATCCCAAGTATCTTGCTTGCAGGACCAAGATCTTTCACCTCAAACGTTGAGCTCAGCTGCTCATTTAGTCCTTTAATGATCTCCATGTCTCTACAGGAAACTAACATATCATCTACATACAATAACAAGTAGATATATGTACCCTAGATGCACTTGATGTAGACGCACTGATCGTGGTCACATCTGCTGAACCTGATCTCCTTCATGAACAGGTTGAACGTCTGGTTCCATTGTCTTGGGCTTTGTTTCAACCTGTATAATGATTTCTTTAATAGACACATGTGATCCTCCTTTCCTTTCTCTTCGTAACCCTCTGGTTGCGACATAAAAATTTCGTCATCTAGATCACCGTGCTTAAAGGCTGTTTTGATATCTAATTGCTCCAGTTCCAAGTTTTCTTGAACCACAATTGACATCAGGTACCTTATAGACATGTGCTTGACCACAGGAGAAAAGATTTCATTGTAGTCTATTCCCTCCTTCTGAGTATAACCTTTAGCCACCAATCTAGCCTTAAACCGAGGCTCTTCCACACCAAGAATCCCTGGTTTTCTTTCGAAGATCCACCTGCATCCGATAACTTTCCTCCCTTTTGGTTTTGGAACCCATATCCAGGTAGAGTTCTTAGACAAAGATGTCATCTCCTCATCAGATGCCAGCTTCCACATCTTCTTATGATCATCCTTCATTGCAGCTTTAAAGTCCGTAGGCTCAACTATGTCTCCATCTTCTGATGCTAAGAGAGCCATGTCAATAAACTCATCATACTTTTTAGCAACCACTACTTGTCTTCTCACCCGATCACGTGCTAGCTGATAACCTTCCAGACCTTCATCTTGTTCATTTTTATCACCTGAAGCATCTTCTTCAGTGTCAACATCAACCACATCGCTACTTGATTCACCATGAGGCTCGTCTCTTTCTCTCAGACCGTCTCCACCTGAACTGATATCCCTTATTTTAGAGACGTCAAGTTGAATATCCAGAAAAGCTGTACTCCGCTCTTTTCGAGCATCAATATCATTCGGCAGATCTTTATAGCATTCACTCTCTTTGAATGTAACATTCCTGCTGATGACACACATTCTGTCCTCTAAAGACCAAACCTTATAGCCCTTAACTCCATATGGATAGCCAATAAAAATGTCTTTCTTGGCCCTTGGCTGCAACTTTCCCTCATCAATGTGATAAAAGCAAACGCACCCAAACTTTTTCAAATGACTAAAACTTGGTGTAGTTTTAGACCATAGCTCCTCTAGAATTTGACCTTGAATCGCTGATGATGGTGTCCTGTTGATCAGATAAACAGATGTATTCACTGCCGCAGCCCAAAAAACGTTTGGCAATCCTGATTCACTTAACAAACTCCTGACTCTCTCAAGAATGGTTCTGTTCATTCATTTAACAACTCCATTTTGTTTAGGAGTGTGGGGAATTGTCTTATGTCTTGATATCCCATTACCTGAACACAGACCATCAAATTTCTTATTGCAGAATTCTAATCCATTGTCTGCCCTGAGTCTTTTAACCTTCAACCCAGACTGATTCTGATTCTCTACCAATGCTTTCCATTCAGCAAAACTTTCAAACGCTTGATCCTTAGTCCTCAGAAAGTAAACCCATACTCTTCTAGAATAATCATCAATCAGACTTGGGAAGTAATGACATTTACCAAGTGATTGAGGAACAGTTAGAGACCCCCACAAGTCAGCGTGAACATATTCAAGACATTTTTGACTTGTATGCTTTCCTGTTGAGTAGCTTTGACGATGTGCTTTTTCAAACACACAACTCTCACAAAACTGAATATTTGACACCTTTTTCTTGTCAAGATATCCGTTTTTAACAAAGATATCCAATCCCTTTTGACTTATGTGACCAAGTCTACTATGCCAGAGATTGGTATCATCCTTTGCAGACACAGTATTGACCTCTCCCGTATGGCTTAGCCTTGTAAGAGATACAGCTTATTGGTCCTCTTGGCTTGAATAATCGGCTTCCCACCTTTTGAACCTTAAGTTAACCATCTTCAGGCTTGAAAGTACACCCTTGTTCTTCAAACCTGCCAAGAGACAACAGATTCCTTGAGAACTCAGGGACATATCTAACGTTCTTGATCAGAACATAGCCGTCAGGTGTCTTAATCCTGATGGAGCCAATACCCATGACTGCAGAGACTGACTCGTTAGCCATCCTCACTGATCCAGCTGCATATTCTTCCAAATCTACAAACCATTCCTTTCGTGGAGTCATGTGAAACGTGCACTCAGTATCTAGAATTCAAACTTGATCATAATCCACACCTGTTGCAACATTCACCTCAGACACCATCAAAGATTCTATGAACTCAATACCAGTTACTGCAGAAGACTCCCTGGTCAGCTGTGCTTTATCTTTGCTTTTCTTAGGACAGTCACGCTTGAAGTGACCCTCAGCACCGCATACCCAACAAGTACATAGAGATCACACAATTAGCATATTGTACTCCTTTTCCATTACAAGATTGGTGTTATAGTCCTCTCTTTTTACTTTATGGATTTTGTGTTATCCCTCTGTCTTTGTATAGGACTATGCTTTCGTTATTTTAACTAATACAATTTTATATGGCAAAATATAGTACATGTGTTATTGAAAATCCTCCCTATATTTGACCATTACAACATTTGATTCAAATTCGTTTGATATCAAAATAAAACAATGAAACTTTTTTAATTATCCAAAAAACATCATTTGACTCTCTTTCAAAGAAAAAAAGAGTATTTGAATGGGAATTAATAATTTAAGCCTTCAATGGAAAAATCAATATCAGACATTGTCAAAGAAGTTGTGGAAGATAACGATGCTAGTGTAGAAATAGACGAAGATGACGAAAGTGAGTGGAGATTCGAGGAAGAAGAAGATGAGGTGAGATGCAGAGCCATACAGTTGCCTTCACTCCAAGACCGTCTGATAGGGAACCAGACAATCTCGGACCACTTGTGGCGACAAGACCTTGACCCTAAGTTTGAATTCTTACGTGCACTGCGAGATTTTTCGTGAAGTGCGCAGCCGCAGTTTTTGTGGTATGGACGTCGTTCCATGGAAGAGTCACAACTAGAGATGCAACCTTCTAAGATATTACGAAACATTCCGTCCATGGATCCAGCGGCCATTCTCTTTTATGTTATGAAGGAGATATTTTCAATTCTCCAACGTGAACGAAGAGTTAACTAGTTGTCAATTAGGAAAATTTTTTTTGTTAGTTGTCAAATATGATTTTGGAGTTATTAGCAAATTCTATTTATACCCAAGCACAAATAGGGGTGAATAAAATGGCGATTGCACGTGAAAAGCGTGGTAGTGTGTGTTATAGCTATCTTTTCGGATCTTTGACCAAACCACCTCTTCTTGTTTCTTCATTTTATTTTGTCTTTCTCTTTGTCTCTTTCTATTTATGAAAAATTGTTAAAATTACTTTTGTAAGAGAAATTGTAGTAAATAACATCAATCCAGGTTAAAATTAAAGTATCTAGATTGAACATAAAGTATTTGGCAGTGAATTGACAAATTTAGGAATGATTCGATATGGTTAAGAGATCTTTCTTTAGTCTTTCACGAAAACAAAAGCTTTAATTGGTTTGCTCTTTTAGAATTTGATATTTTGATGTATTCTTTTTTTTTTTCCTCTTCAAAGTTTGGCTAAGCAAGTGAAATCCGAACCTTATTCATAACCTAACCCGAACCTTATTCCTCTTCAATGTTTTGAAAAGCCAAACCCTCGAACTAGAAGTATTGTGTTTGGACTCAGTTAACTTTAAGTTTTAGAGAGTAATTATATGAATGAAATTAAAATGTTTATATTGAATTACCTGACACAAAACCGATATTAAATTGTATGAACCGGATAGTATTAACTGAATGAATCGAAATTCAAAAAAAAAACATTTAGTTAATTATTAAAAAATATTAAATTATATTAAAATCTAAATCTATCTATCTATTCTATTAAAACAGAAACATTTTTTGTGTCCAAACAAGATTTTATTAATTTAAGTCTACCTGTTTGTGGATAGTTAATATTCATGTTACCTAACAAGTTAATTTTAGTCAAATATTAATAAAAATTATTATTAATTATACAAATTTATTTTTAAAATTTAAATATTATTAAAAATATTTTAGACTTCCTTAATTATAGATTAGATTATCTACAAAAAATTAAAAAATATCAGTAATTATCTTTAAAAAAATTATAAATCAGATATTAATTTAGATTTGATTTAAATATTATTATTTATATAATATTTATACTTTGAAAAAAAAATATATTCAGAATACCAATATTTTTTTTGAAACAAAAAAAAATCACATATAAAAAATAATGATCATATTTGGAATATAAATATTTATGATGATGTTAATAATATGATATTTTGTTAATTATATTCAGTATTTACGAGTATGCTTTATTTGCAAATTAATAACAAAAAATGGATAAGATTCAAATGTATAATTAAATATTGAATATATATATTTAAACAAAATATACAACTGAAAATATATAAAACAAATTGGGTGAAAAATATTTTGTTGACTATAATCATTAATTTGACTCATACATGTATACCAAAAAAAAATTTTTTTTCATACAAAATAGAAAATATAAAAAAAAAACATTATCGCATACTTTTACTATGGATTAAATTTTAAAAAACAATATTATGTATTCTGTCAAATAAATTATCGTTAATATATTTTAAACCTTTTAAAAATATTTATATTATATGATAATATAAAAGGGTGAGTTAGAATTATGATTTTATAATCACAATTTTTTGGATTAATATGTACAAACGGCTTAGAATTATATTTTTATAATCGTGATCATTTTAATACTAAAAAAAATTAAATCTACAAAACAATTATATCTAAATTATAATGATATTTACAATAATATATATTTTTCTATTTATTAGAGAAATATATATATATATATAATTAATTTTATCTAAACTCAAAAATATATATTATATTACAAAAGTCGATAAACAAAAAAAAAAAGAATTCTCGTGTAGATACATGGTAAAATCTAGTTACTAATAAAGGTTGAAGCTAAATGCTTTTTCAAAATGTCTACATGGGATTTGAAAGAACAAAATTTATTGGTCCACATCAACATTCAAAATTAAGAAAGTTTTAGAATTATAATATTATTGCTGAATAAAGAAATTTTGTATAAAATTTTCATTGGTCCACTTTAACATTAAAAACTAAAAAAAAGAAAAATCCAAATTTTATTATTATTTTAAAAATTATAAAAGATAAAAAATTATGTATAAAATTTATATTAATAATAAAAACTAAATAAATAATATTTAAGTAGAAAAATATTAAATTCAAATTAGATGTTTCAATTATACAAATAACTAAGAACAAATAAAATAGTAAAATTTATTTACATATGTATTTTTACATATATAGAGACTCCTACATTAGCATTCAAATTTTTGTCACATAACTATAATAAATTTTAAGTTTTTTATGTGTGTGCATCTATTTCAATTGAAAAAACAAAAGAATAGAGTTAGCTTTTACCAAAGAATGAGTCATTACAACGTAAATGAACCAATTTTTCTAAACTATATTTTTAACTATTAGCTAAACAAAGAATATGATGAAAGGAGATATGGACAAAGCTACTACAAGCTGTTTTAATGTCGAAAAGGAGACCGTCAATCTCCAAAGCTTGGCCACTGTGTGAACCGAAACTCGCACAACCAAAAATTTATTAAGGAAAACTTAAGGGTTCCAAAATTTCTAGGGTTTATCGCAAGAACAGTAAGATCAAAAAGAAAGTTTTTGCTGGAAAGCGTTTTAGTCTTAGTGCTCTCGAGTTGTTAAAAGTTACATAATGAGCTGCATATATCGTCTATTTATACTAACTCTCTAAACCGTCTAGCCGAGAATCTCGGGAGAGATTTTCGGAATATTTCCTTATCGCTTTGTGCGGCCACCGTCACAGCACTTCGCCTAGGGTTTCCTTATGGGCTTACGTCCTTCATGACTTCGGTTCGGCCCATCCAAGAAGAACCAGCTCGGCCCAATTGCGAAGTGGCTCGGCCTATTTTCTCTCTTGCACAGCTCGGCCCACTGAACGTCCTTCCCACGGCTCGGTCTACTTGCCCCTCTTCACGGCTCAGCCCATTTGTAATGTTGAGCACGTCTCGGCCCACTTTTCTCATGTGAGAGCTCGGCCCATATCTGACGAATAACTGATTTCTCTTGCCAACTGGTTTTCTCCGATACTTGGTCATTCGCGAGATGGTTTAACCGCTTGGGATGGAAACCGACCCCAACAGTTAGCCCCCCAGCTCATCAGTTTTGGAGATGAGAGTGGCGAGGTTCATTGCTCCTGGCCATGGGATAAACCATTGAGTCAGGCCGTTGCGAAACAATTCCAGGTGAGGCGTTTTGGAAATAAAGATGCCGAGCCGTTCTTCGACGAAGCGTAATAGCGAGCCGTTTTTTGGCGAGGTTGTGTGAAGGAAAATGCCAACCCGTTCAAAAGATGAGCTTAGTTTGGCAAAGATAGCGGCGAACTGTTTTGCTAACGACAAAGCGATCGAGGCAAAAGATAATGCCGAGCCGTCTCGTTAACGATGAGGCGTTTTTGAAAAGATGTCGAGCCGTTTCGTTTAACGACGAGGTGTTCTATGAAAAGATGCCGAACCGTGAACGTCGAGGCATTTTGCGTAGGCTATGCTGAGCCGAATAAACGACGAGGCATTTTCGCGAAGGATATGCTGAGCCGAATATACGACGAGGTGTTTTCATGAAAGATATGCGGAGTTGAATAAACGACAAGGCGTTTTTGTGAAAGATATGCCGAGCCGAATAAACGACAAGGCGCTTTCGAGAAGGATATGCTGAGCTGAATAAACGACGAGGCGTTTTCGTGAAAGATATGCTGAGCCGAATAAACGACGAGGCGTTTTCGTGAAAGATATGCCGAGCCTTGTTTCAAGGTAACGACGAGGCTTTTTTTTGTAACAACTGTGCCGAGACATCAGCTGAAGACTCGGACGTCCCGACCATTGGTCTTCCGAAAGAAGATTCTTGAATTATTGGCGCGTGTAACCGACGCGGCCAGAGTTTGTTAATACGCCGCGGATTCCACGCACTGTTGTTTTGACGGCTTCCCAAGGTTCACGCGGAACTCACGCGCCTCGGCTTGTCCTATAAGAAGGTGAATCCCCTTCTTCTTTCCTCATAATTTCAGATCTTCGATTTCACTAAAGGTAGCTCTCCCTTCTCTCTTCTTTCTCTCTCTAGTTTATTTATTTTCCGGCTAGGGTTCTGAGGCCTCCCCCGCTCTAGATCTATTTCCGACGAGAATTCGCCGCGTAGGGTTGTAATCCCAGTACAGACTGTAAATCATGTCGAACCGCTCCGACGATTCGCTGGATCCGCTTTTTTACTATGAGCCGAGCCGTGTAGATGCTTCGGTGAGTCACCAAGTAGCCGAGGAATTCTCCCGAGGTTACCGCGAATATGCACTTCGCCGGATTCAGTTTCATGTTGTGTTTGTTCAACTGCTCGAAGCATTCTCGTAGGTGCGCGATATGGTCTTTTTCCTCGAGCGATTTGACCAACATATCGTCGATGTATACCTCCATGGTTTTTCCGAGCTGATCTGCGAACATTTTACTGACGAGCCGTTGATATGTTGCCCCTGCGTTCTTGAGTCTAAACGGCATGACTTTGTAGCAGTATATCCCGCGATCGGTTATGAATGCCGTTTTTTCCCGGTCATCAGGATGCATCAGGATTTTGTTGTAACCGGAAAACGTGTCCATAAACGTTAACAACCTGTTTCCTGCAGTGGTTTCAACGATCCGGTCGATGTGCGGTAGAGGGAAATTGTCTTTTGGGCACGCCTTGTTGAGATCAGTGAAGTCTACACAGACCCGCCACTTGCCGTTCTTCTTCTTCACAACCACTGGATTCGCAAGCCAGTCCGGGTATTTTGCCTCGGCAATTGATCCTACTTTTAGCAATCTTTCCACTTCGTCGTTAACTGCCTTAGCTCGTTCGGGTCCGAGCTTCCTCCTTTTTTTCTTGATTAGTTTGAAAGTTGGGTCCAGGTTCAGCTCGTGACTGGTCACGTCGATGCATATGCCTGGCATGTCCTCCGCTGTCCAGGCAAAAGTGTTGATATTCTGTTTGAGGAGGGAAAGAAGTTCGCTTCTCAAAGGTTCTTCTAGCTTAGTTGCGATTTTGACGCGTCTTACTGGATACGCTTTGTCTATGCACACCGAGTCCACCGCATCACATACCGGCTCGGTGCACGTTTTGCGGCTCTCCGCGATCTGTAATTGCTATAAGAGCTTCGAGAGCTCGTTCGCAGGCTCTCGGTCCGTCTTCAGCTTTTTGCGATCTACGTCTGCTCGTGCATCGGTGACGGGGTTCCTCAACTTGTGCTCTTCCAAGAAACACGTTCGCGACTCTTTCTGGTTTCCCCAAATCGTTTTAATGCCTGATGGAGTTGGAATTTGAGGCAGAGGTGATAGGTGGAAGGGACTGTCCTCATCGCATTGATCCATGGAGTTCCCATAATCACATTGTAGATTGCTGGATGATTGGTGACGCAGAATTCGACGATCTAGTGACTCCGCCGGCTACCACAGGGAGTCGAATCGTGCTCATAGTCATTGTTGTTTCTCTCGAAAATCTGGTTAGAGGTTTGTGGATCGCCGTCACCTCGGAGAGATCGATTCCCATCCTTCTGAGTGTTTCCCTGAAAATGACATCTACTGAGCTCCCAGTATCGATGGGTACTCTCGCTACATCGTGGTCTCTGATTGTCAATTCGATCACTAGTGGATCGTTGTATGGTCTATCTATCCCTGCCGTTTCCTCTTCGGCGAAGGAGATCACCGTGTTCGGGATATCGGTCGGTTCTGTCCAATTTTCCTTTGTTTCGGCTCGGCGCTGATAAGCCTTGATGGAAGACACCGTGTCTTGATAATATTGGGATCCACCCATGATCATGTTGATTCTTTGTCTCGGCTCGGGTCGTTCTTCAGGTTCACCTCTCCTGTCGCGCTTGGTGTTATCGCCTCGTCGAGGAGGATTTGCGGGTTCTGTCGTGCCGCTCGGCTCGGTTCCTTCTTTTGGCTCATTAGGGACGAGGTCTTTAAGATTCACCGCGCTCTAGATCTCTCCCGCTGCCATGTTAGCTGCGAGTTTGGCTCCTAGAGTTCGGCATTGCGCCGTCGAGTGTCCGTAGGTTTGGTGATATTCGCAGAATGCCTTTTCGTCATAGTTAGTGGGTCTTCTTACCCAAGGGTTGCTGCGCGGCTCTCCTCTTCCGCGTCCGGCGCCTACTTGGTAGTTGTGGGTACCTCCGCTTCTTGGTTCGTCCGAGCTCTCTGTTGTCGCGTTGTTGGATGGGTTACCTTTTTTCGAAGGGCGCGTCAAGATTGAGCTCTGGATCGCTGCTTTGGTCGCTTTGTACTGCTCGTCCAGATTTTTCATCTCCTCCTCGTTTACGACGAAGTCTGATGACCGATGCAGGGCATCTTGAATCGTTTGTGGCGTGTTGAGGGCCATTTCCCATCGGAATTCAGATTTGTACCACAAGGACCGCTTCAGAGCCTCGAGTGCAGCCTTGTCGCTTATTCCTTCTACTTTGGATACGACCGCCTTGAACCTTGCCATATAGTTCCAAAGCGGTTCGTTCGGTCCTTGGGATAGCGTCCATAGGTCGGCATCGGAAGTTCCTCTATCCATGAACATCGAATACTGCTTAAGGAACAAAGCGGAGAGCTGCTGGAAACTGCCGATTGAATTGCGCTCCTGTCTCGAAAACCAATGAAGCGCGGCTCCCTTGAGATGTTCTACGAAGAGTAGGCAATATCCGGCATCTACCTCCTGCTCGGTCAGATTGGCAGCGTTCTTTGTGAAAACTCGTCCCATTGCTATCCGAAAAGCTGTGATGTGTGCCTTCGGGTCGGTCGTTCCTTCGTAGAATGGGATTCTCACCTTCCCGGGCTTGGGAATCCTAGCCTCCATGATTCTCGCCGTGATTGGTGTTCTCTGGGTCTCTTCAAGCATTCGATCAATCTCGGGCGCGGCACTTGTCGCGTTATGCACTTGAGACTTCATGGCGCGTATCTCGGCCACTGTCAGAGCCATTGAGGCTCGCAGCTCTTTGATTTCGAGGGTTTGTGCGTGAGTCATTCCCTCCGATTGGAGAAGTCGTTCCCGATCATCTCTCCTGGGCTCATCTTTGCGCTCTGCCTGCTCGACCCATTGGAAGTTTTGATCCCTCGACTACCAAGACCCTCGGCATTGCATGTCGAGGTCCCTTGTCACAAACCCATATTCAAGAACAAGCCGACTCAGAGAATGCACGTGAAGATGGATTGAGGACTAGGGTTCATGCATCTTCTTGATGTGTCCTTCATGAGATCTTCATCCTGATCTTTGCTCATGTGCGCCCCTCAAAATCAAGACCTCGGCTTCACTCTCTCACACACTGAGGTTCTCACCCGACGACCCAAGAAGAGCGTCCAGTACCAGGTTTGTTCCGGGCTGATCCGCAACACTTAGCCTTCACTATAAATAGTTTTTAGGACTAAAAACCTAAGGATCATATCTCTTATCTGTTTTTAGTTTTGAGAACTTGCCTCTTTTGTGAAACTTGCTTCTTTAATCAGATATCTCGTTTTCACGTAAAGGTCTTGTTCTCTTTCATTTTCTTTTTTATCATCTTCATCAAAGCTTCTAATCATGACTAGCTTCACATCTTGCAAAGGATCTAGTGAGCTCTTCATGATTAGTGAGTAGTCCGCTTATGAGGTTTTAGATAGGTAGATTAGGGTGCTTCCATGGTAGATTAGCGAGTTTAGGGGTCTAGTCTTGCATATTTTGATTCTCTAACCGATCAGATCTCTAAGCTGGATCCATGAACATCATATGTGGTCCAGATCTAAGATATCTTCTCACATCAAAAGTGTTTGTAGAAATGTCTGAACCAATCGGTTAGAGGTTTAAGAGTCTTTCATCATGAGAGTGATAGTTTGTTCTTCTTAAATGATTGAACTGGATCTTAAAGCTGACTGATTCATGCTTCTCAAAAGGGATTTTGGTATGAAATAGGACCCGTTTAGAAGCTTAATACCTTCATGAGAGGATTAACTTGTCGTTGAGTTCATGTTAAATGAAGTTGCTTGATAATCTTGATTCATTAACCCACTAGTTTAACTTGAAAGCACCCGAGTCCTTTATCCTGTCTAAAGCCTCTATATTATCATTTCATATCATCATCTGATCATTGTTCTAGTTTAATCGTTTGTTATTTGCACCCTTGCTAGTTTAAATTTCATAACTTGTTCCATTTCTGTTCTTTCTTGCATTTCAAGTAGATTAAACAACACAAACCTTTTCTTGATCAACTTGACTTAAGTAATGAGCATAATATACTAATGTCTACCACAAGCTTGGATTCGATACCCCTTGTGCTACAACTACAGGGGATTGATACCTCTTTAAAGACCTAAAAATCTTAGCTATCAATTGGCGCCGTTGCCAACTTGTGGGAGTATTAGTTTCTTGCTTGTTCTTGAGATCAAGTCTTTATTTATTTTTTTTTTTACTGATTACTTTGCAAGTTCTGGCTTTGCTTTCAGGTGTATGAGAACTAGATCTCGCAGCTCAGAACCGCCTATTCCTTATGACAAAAACATCAACAGGCTTGAAAGGAGGGCACGAGAGAGAGCAGCACACCTTGAACGGTTAGGCATGGCATAACAACAACGGATTGAGCAACAGGCTCAAGAAGCCGAGCAACAGGCTCATCTAAACCAAGCGCAGGCCGAGAGGAACGAACAACAGGCCTTTTTAAATCAGCAACAGGCTCAACAAAAGCAGCACCAGGCTAACCAAAATGAGCAACAAGCACAAAACGTAAACGTTCCTCAGCCTACACCACCAGATCAAAGGCAACCTCCACCGGTCTTTGTTTGAGAAAACGACCGAGCTATTGCACATCAGTATAGAGCCGGGATCCAAGCACCACCAGTGCAAAACAACAACTTCAAAGTTAAAGCTTCCCTGCTCAATATGGTGCAGAACTCCAAGTTTCAGGGTTTGCCCATGGAGGATCCTTTAGAGCACCTAGATCAATTTGATCGAGTTTGTGACCTCACGAAGATAAACGGGGTATCAGAAGACAGGTTCAAGCTCCGCTTGTTCTCATTCAGTCTTGGTGATAATTAAAGCGCATCAATGGGAGAAGAATCTTCCAAGGGGAACTATACAAACGTGGGAACAATGTAAGCTCGCCTTCTTGTCCAAGTTTTTCTCCACATCTAGGACGGCTAAGCTGAGAAATCAGATCTCAAGCTTCACACAACACACCAATGAAAGCTTTGGTGAAGCTTGGGAGAGATTTCGAAGCTATACCAACCAATGTCCACACCATGGCTTCTCGGAGGCTTCCCTTTTAAGCACTTTATACCGAGGTGCACTTCCAAAAATAAGGAACCAACTTGATACAGCATCAAATGGGAGCTTTCTTGGGAAGGAGATAAACACAGCAATGGAACTTGTGGAGAATCTTGCAATGTCAAATGATACTTATGGTGAGGATTTCGACAGAGCTAACCGATCTGATGGGTCTAGTAAGGAGTTGCGAATGGAAAAAGACATCAGGGAGCTACAGAACAAGCTTGACAAAGTACCTGTGGCTACACAAAAGCCAATACCCTTTGTGGGAGAGTTTGATGAGCAAGGGCCGAGCTTTGACAATGTAAATGAGGATGGTCTCCCAAAGGAAGAGATCAACTATATTGGGAATCAACAAAGGTATCAGAGGTTTAACAACTTTGGGAACAATCAAAACCTCTTTTACCGCAACCCCAATGTAGCAAATCCTCAAGATCAGGTGTACCCTGCTCAACAACACCAACAAAGCTATGCTCCTAAAGCTCCATTTCAGAACAATTTTCAGCCCAAGCAGCAGTTCAGTGGGCAGCAACAAAGTTATGGACAGCAGAATCAACCAGCTCAGAGCAAAACTAGCCAACCGCAGCAACACAAGTTTCCACCAGGGTTCAGTCCACAACCGATGGGTCCGCAGCAACAGCAGCAGGCACCGGTTCAGAGTCGGATGGGACCAGACTGTTACACAGTCAACAAAGGGTTGAGAGTCAGTACGCGTCCATGCAACAAGATATCCGAGAACTTAAGCAGAACCAAGCTTCAACATCATCAAGAGGACCAGCTTTACCTGGAAAGCCGGAACCAAAACTAAGGAATATGTGAACGCCATCACTTTGAGAAGTGGAAAAGAGTTACAAGCTCCAGCACCTAGGCCAAAGCTCATTGAGGCCAATGAGCAAATCGGGGGGGAGGCAGCCTCAAATGATGAGCATGAGGATGAGGTTTTGGAGAAAGAACCGGTTAAAGACAAGGCTAAAGAGGTGGAGAAGACACCTGAGCTTGAAAAGCCATACGTCCCACCACCTTCTTATCAGCCTAAGATACCATTTCTAGGGCGTTTCAAGAAGCAGATCCTAGACAGAGCCAAAGCAGTCTTTGAAAAGCACTTAGAGAATACTCAAATGACTTTGCCGATCATAGATGCTTTTCTAGCTATACCTCAGCTTGGAAAGTTTCTAAAGGACGCGATACTTAACAAGACAAAAGAGCTTCAAGGGATGGTCATATTGAGTCACGAGTGCAGTGCCATCATTCAAAGGAGGTCAATACCAAGGAAGTTTTCAGACCCGGGTACTTTTACTTTACCATGTGCAATCGTTCCATTGAAGTTTTCAAGCTGTTTGTGTGACTTGGGAGCTTCTGTGAGCTTAATGCCTTATTCAGTGGCTAAAATACTTGGTTTTAAGAGCTATAAACCAGCAAAGATCTCCCTTGTTTTGGATGACAGATCAGTGAGGTTACCGATTGGCTTACTTGAGGATCTAGCTTTGAGAATTGGTGAAATAGAGATAGAGATGGATGAAGAGCCTATTGAACCCATCATCTTGGGGAGACCCTTTTTGGCAACAGCAGGAGCGATCATTGACGTGAGAGGAGGCATGATAGAGCTGCACATTGTTTTTGAAACCATGAAGTTCGATGTGAAGGAAATGATGAAGAAACCGACCATTGGAGGTCAGGGTTTCTATATTGAAACCATGGAGGAGCTAGCTGATGAGCTCCTTGAAGAGTTAAAAGCAGAAGACCCTTTACAAGTGGTCTTGACACGGGAACAAAGCGAGCACGGATTCTTGAACGAAGAAAGCGAGATGTACAGGCGCTTCTTGGAGCAGCCGAGGGAGATTGAAGCTGAGACGAGGTTTTTGGAGCTCAGGCAGAGTGGTCTCGGTACTTTAGACATCAGAGGGTCCAAGACTGTTGTGAAGACACCTCGGGGTATCATGGCGCGACATCTTATGCCGAGGGCAGTGGAAAACCGCGATTGAAGGCAAATGCCAAGGGAGCTGTTCCGAAGCAATGCAGCTTCGATGCTGATTGGAATGAGGCTGATGCACCCCCTGTTGAGTTCAAGCCTCTACCAATAGGACTTAGGTACGCTTTCTTTGGCTCAAATTCCTCATATCCCGTAATCATCAATGATCACCGGTTAGATCATGAAGAGCATGCATTGCTTTGCGAGCTTTGAAGGTTCAGGAGAGTGATAGGGTATGCTTTGGCCGATATTAGAGGCATCTCTCCTGACATATGTACCCACAGGATCCACCTAGAAGACCAGACTATGTCTTCTATTGAGTATCAAAGACGTCTTAACCCGAAACTTAAGGAGGTGGTTAAGAAGGAGATAGTCAAGCTTCTTGAGGCAGGAATAATATACCCAATTTCTGACTCAAGATGGATATCTCCTGTCCACGTGGTGCCCAATAAAGGTGGTATCACGGTGGTAAAGAATGAAAAGGATGAGTTAATATCCAAAAGAACCATAACCGGTCATTGCATGTGCATTGATTATAGAAAGCTTAACTCTGCGTCTAGAAAATATCATTTTCCATTGCCATTCATAGACCAAATGCTTGAGAGGCTTGCTAACCATCCTTACATCTGTTTTCTTGATGGGTACTCGGGTTCCTTTCAAATCCCCATAGATCCCTGATACCAAAAGAAAACTACATTTACATGCCCTTATGGCACTTACACATATAGACGCATGCCCTTTGGCCTTGTAATGCACCGGCAAC